AACCTTTAGAAACGGAGATATTTATACAGGGAGGGTACTTCTGGAAGGCTGGTGATTCCGTCTTCTGCCTCTTGCATCCACGTGTGTGCCTTCATTTCCCCTCTCTGGATCTGCTCCTGGCTTTACTGCTAGTTTAAAATAAAAATATAATCCATTTACAATCCTCCCTTACGGCCATTAAGCGCTCGTCTGAGAAAGGCTATTATCTCCGCTTGGCTGGCAGAGGATTCAGAGCTTTAACTCCTGCGTGGCCGTGCAGGAGGAGCATCCCACCTGTGGGGATGGGGGAAGCTGGCACGTGCCTGGCTTTGCTGCGTTTCCAAGGTGGCCAAGAGCTTCAAGACCTCGGGGACCTCTTGTGTCCCCTCTTCCAGGCTTTGTCCCATTGCTGTTGCCAGAGGAGGGGGCTGGAAATCTACAGTTTCCCCAGGGGGAAAGCCACGGGGGCTGCTTGCCTTCCAGCAGCAGGGAGGTTTCGTCCCTGTGTGGCCAAGAAAGAAATAAAGAAGTGGGTTTCCTTGCACAGGGCACGTCTGCAGCCATAAAAGCAGGGCTGACGGAGGGAGCAGAGGACCCAGTCTGTGGTGGTTGGGGGTGTCTTGCCCTGGGTGGAAGAGCTCAAGGTTCAGGTCTGCTCCTGCCCTGTGTGGCTTGGAGCAGGGAGAGTAACCTTAGTGGCTTAACCCTGGCAATGGCAATAGCCCGTGCCCTACACCCTGTGTCCTGTGTCCCCACGCTCAGGGAGGGCTGTCCCCAGTGCTGCTGTGTGCAGAAACCCATCCCACAAGGTCACTGCTGGAAATCCAATGTGTCTCCTCCACGGGGGAAAAAAATAACATTGCTGTTTGCTCCAGATTGGCAAGAAAAATCTTGCATTTTCCTGCATGTGAAAATTCCACTAAGTACAAATTCTACACAACCAAGTGAGGCAACTGCTTATTTCACCATTGTGTGTGCACAGAATATTTCATTTCCTTTGGCTCAGCATCACTGGCAGGAGAGCCCAGCTCCTGGCACATTTTGGACCAGCTTTGAGTCCACAGGTGGTGCCAGGAGAAACCAGCTGAGGCCGTGGTTCCACCTGCTTGAAAAGCAAAAGCCCCCCCAAGTCTTTCCTGGAGGGATGTGAGTCTGAAGGGGGTGGGGGCTTCCCCCAAAGGCACATCCCAACCTGCCTCCAGGGAATCGACACCCGGATCGTTATCGTTTCCTTTGCTGGACAATTCCCGATCATTATAATTTGGGCCACGCTCACCAGGTTTTAAATTATTCTGTCTCAAGTAGCTGATGGCATTTGTTACGTGTCATGCAATGTTCCTGGTAATTAATTGGTATTTAATTAATTAAGGGATAATGGCATTCAATTAAGGGATGCTTGTGGAACACTGTCACTGGGTAATTAATGGCTTCCTGCTGCTCGAGCAAAGCCGAGGCATTTGTGGAAAATAAATAGAGAGGAGAAGCGGAGATGTTTATTCCCTTGGCAGGAGACAGCGTGGGGTCCCAGCCATCTCTGATCATCCTGAGCCAGCACTGAGATGGGGAGAGGGGTCACAGCTGTGGGCAAGACGGGGTGCAAGACCTTGCAGCACCTGGGCACCCCCCTCACACACTTTCCCCTGGCAGCAAACACGATGTGCAAACTGCTGGCAAAGGAGGAAAACTGCACAAAAACCCGAGCACTTGATGTTCCCAGCACCACACGGCAGGTCAACGGCAGAAACAAGACCTGATTTCCAGACCCCGCGCCCGGGGCTCTGCTCAGGCTGAGTCAGGCTCTGCTCTTGGCACGTGTAAACTTGAAATTGTTCTTGCTGATGCCAAGGACCGAAGTATCTGGGAGAAAATGGGCCTTGTGTCCTATCGGCTTCGGAGGAGAGCAGAGAAAAAAAGATGAATTTCCTGGGAGATAGAGATAAATGAAAATAAATTCCCCGAACCAAACAGAACAGAGCACCGCTTTGAATAAAGAAGGACAAATATTGAAGGATAAACAGGAATGAGTCACTTCACCAGCTGTTCCTGGCTGGCTGGAAACGCTCTGTGCTGTTGAATGCGCCCCGTGTGTGATGGGTATAAATATTTCAGGCACCTCTGGCAGGACTCGGAGGGTTTGAACCCCTCTGGTCCCTGCAAGCACAGCACCCTGCCCAAGGCAGGGAGTCCTGCTGGAGAGCAGAGGACCATCCAAAGTGGGTGATAACCAGCTCTCCCACTATGACTTTTGGTTTCCTGCCTTGCCCAGCCATCCTTTCCAACACAGCTCTCATCTCATCCTTTGACAATGAGGTTATTTCTAGGAGGAGGGGGACAACAGTCCCCAGGCACTGAAGACCTCTTGGTTTCCTCTTCCAGAGCCATGGTGAAGGCAACGAACTCAACACACTCCCCTCTTAGAGCAGACAAAGCTGTGGCTGCCCCATCCCTGGAGGGGTTCAAGACCAGGCTGGACAAGGTTTTGAGTAACCTGGTCTGGTGGGAGGTGTCCCTGCCCAGGGCAGGGAGGGTTGGAATAGGATGATCTTTAAGGTCCCTTCCAACCTGAACCATTCTGTGATTCTATGACTCTGTGTGCTTCAAAGCTCCTGTTTTCCTCCTGCACTGGTGCTTTCCCCGGGAGGCTCTGCCAGCAGCTGAGTAGAGGCATCAATGATGCAGGAGGCTCCAGTCCCTCCTCCACCATCCACATGCATAAAGTACATCTCTGCGAGGATATTTGTGTGGCCTTCATTATCATACGCTTTTCATTCCAAATCCCACCAGACTCAAGAGAAGGAGTTACTGCAGCTTAGGAAAGAAGCACAAATAAATTCCAACACATAGTATTTAAGGTGATGCTGCTGTAGGCAGCTAATTTCTTTATTTACCAGTGAGTCTGAACCCCAAAGTCCACACTGGAGCATTCCTAATGTCGGTTTGGGGCTCACACTTTTGCCTTTCCAGCACGTAACCGATGGAGTGGTGAAGACCCTGACCACAGCTCAGGGCAGCCAGCGTGTCAAGGCATCTTCCCTTATTTATTTGTGCCCACCTTGGTCCATCCTTGGGTACACAGAGAGGACCAAAGCCAGGCTGTAGTGCCCAGCGCCCAGATGGACACCCCTTCAATGTTATTCAATGAGATACAACGCGAAAATTGCCAAAGACTGCAGTGTTCTTCTTCCCTGGCTGCTTGCAATAGGTTTTCCCTAAAAAGCCCTCAGCCGTTTTTGTTCCAAAATCATACTTCCAGCTGAGAACTGCAAAACAATTAAAGGACAGAGGGTTGGAATGCAAATTGGCCTTTCATAGTCTGATTGCTGATGCCTTGTCTGAAGGAACTGCTTGCTGGATCTAATTGTTTAGCCCAAGAATTTAATGATGTTGTTAATAATTTACCATTCCTTACACTTTACACTGGCTCCTTAGACACATTGAATTTTCATTATTTCCCAGCGCTCCTGTATAAACAATTTTTCCTGCCTAATTCCTTCTCATATTTCAGCTTAGCTTTGGGTAGAACTAGCACGATATGAAAAATACAGAGGGCTGTTGCTGGTGGGCACCTCTGTTCCTACAGCAGAGTTAAACTGTGGCAGATCCTTTCCAAATGTGTGTCCGTGAGCAGCAGCTTTCCCAGGGAAGGGCTGAGGATGCTGAGAAATAGCACATCAGGGACATCCCCTGCCCTGTCTTCTCCAGTGGTTCCATGCAGGAGGACAAAGACTCAAGGAAACTCCTGGGTGGAGGAAGGTGAAGGAACCTTCCCCAGTGAAGCTCCTCCACATTTATGTAACTTGGCAGGTGATCCTTGTTTTGATCCCGGTGCAGGTGTAGGGGATGGACACGGTGGGGAACACACAGTGTCCCCAGACCTTTGGGAGGGAAGGTGGTGTGGAAACGTAAACTCTAATTACAGCTCCAGTAAGCTCCAGTTTCTAATTAATTGCAGATTAAGTTAAAAATAGAGTGGGTTATATAAAATATATCTCGAAAGCCCCGGACTCCCTGGTTACACAACACCCAGGACAATGAGTGGTCTCTGCCGGTGACTAATTAGGGGTGAAAATGCCTTTCCTTCCCAAAATCCAGTCTGACCCTGCCAGTGAGGAACTGGATTTGGGGCAGGGCTGGCACTATCTTGTAGCTGGAGGCTGATCGAAGCACGTGGCAGAGCCTGGCTGCAGCCTGCCTTTGGGTGGGAGAAGCTGCGACCCTCAAGGCGCAAGTCTTGGGGACAATAGACTGAGCTGGAGCTGCCTTCCATTGCCAGACCAGTTGCAGGGATGCTTGGAAGCTGGTTTTAGCATCAACAGCATCTTCTGCAGCTATTTCTACTGAAGTGCCTCCAGCACAGCCGTGGACAGGCTCCAGATCTGATGGCCTTTGGCTCAGCCCCCGTCCAGGGACACTTTGGCTCTTACAAGCTCCGTGTCTGTTTGTCTCCTGGGAACTGAAGGTCGTGTGCAGGGGATGATATGGTTGTCCCCCTTTATGGAGCCTTTTGCTGGCTGCCAGCTCTGCCCCAGTGTTATCTCATGCTTCTTGGTCTCTCCACGTTCCTGTAAACACTTTCCTAATGTGGCTGCATATAAAAGGAAGAAGAATGTGGATCCAGCTGCCCCCTCCGCTCCCGCAGGGGCCAAGCAATTCCTTGCTGCTGAAAACCACAGCAAACACTCAGGGTTTTTTTTTTTGTTTAATTTGTTTTCATTTAATGTGAAAAAAAGGATTATTTGCCATCTGAGGAGCTGCTTGGAGATCAGAGTCGGAGCACCAGGAGGTTTCTCTGCCACATGCAGGGTTTTCCCTGACTCGCCCCAGGATCCACAACCAGGAATTGGGGGTGAGGAAATTTCTTGTCTGCAGAGCAATGGGATTCTCTGACCTGCCGGGGGACAAGGTGGGTGCTGAGGGTGGTGGGATGCAGAATGGGGTGGGACTGTGTCATGGGACATGGGCCCTCACCTTCCTCGTTCCTCCCAGGACCTTGAAAACCACTGTTTCTGGTTGCTGGGACCAAAGCTGCTATCACAGCCCCAACTGGGTCTTCTCCATTATCCAGCTGTGCATCCCCCTGTTGGCCCATCCAGCACCTCTATCATGAAGTCATCCACAAAACCTTCCAGACATCTCTAGGATCACTTGCATCCTGGCCCATTGTCCAGCAGACATTGGGAAGGTTGAAGTCTCCCACAGGAGCAGGGTTTGTCACTCAGAGCCTTTCCCAAGTTGTTCAAGGGTTTTGTGTCCTTCCTCACCCTGATGGTGTGGTCTGTAACATGCCCCAACCTCAAAATCACCTTCCCCACCTCCTCCTCTGGTCCTGACCCTCAGGCGCTCATCCAGATGGTCACAGGTCTGAGCTGCTCCCATTCTCCTTACAAGATGGGGCTCCTTGGTCATCGGGGGTGATGTTGGCGATCTCGGCCATGGCTTTCTGGGGCAGCTCCCTCCCTCTCACTGCCTCATTTCTGGCTGGAGGCCCAAACGCAAGTTTGGACAGTGTTCAAGTGTTTGTGTAAGAAAAGGAAGATTTCTGCAAAACATCATGACCTCTCGTGAAAAGAAGGTTTTGCTGAATCCAGTTGCAAACATTACAGAGGGAGAAGTTTTGGCAAGAACGTAGAGGAGTCAGATATACAACTTAATTTCAGAAAAACTGAATGTCTAAACCACTTGTACAGTTTCGAACAGCTAAGTTCAAACATCTGTACCAAAGGCATGAGGAGACTGGAATTCATTTTTGACACCACCAACTATATTTTACTATTTGAAACGCCAGGAAAATTCATTCTCAGAAACGTGTGGACTTCTGCTGGATGGTAGCTCTGGCCCTGAACATTCACAACGCCTCCTTTCTTTTTCTGTGCCCCTTCACCTGTCCTTATGCCACTTAGGATATCATGCATCGCTCCTGATGGCCATAGTAAGGAGCACTCTGCCGTAGGTACAGGCTTGTAGCCCTTTTAACCACTGGATGGGTTTAGAGAGACCTACACTCCTCATTTTGGGAGTGTGGACAGCCTCTGCCACCTGCTACATCAGTGGAGACACTCAACGTACCAGAGGACATCCTCCCTGGGGACGGGGGATGAGGTCTCCTCTCACAACTGGTATTTCTTTAGCAGCTCACTCTGCCACTGCCTCTTCTTGTTGGGAAAAGCAACAGGGATCTTGATCTTACGGAAGTCCTCAATGCACTTCCCCAGCTCAGACTCCAGTGCCCGTCTCTCCTCGCTCACCGCCGGTGCTGCCGCCACGGGGTTGGCCTCCACCCCGTTCTCCTTCACCACCGTGTGGTCACTGTTCCGCCTCTGCCCCGTCTGCTTCACCTCCTCGAGCTTCTTCAGGGACTTGGACAAGTCCAAGGTGTTGGGGCGGGCTGGACACTCCTCGGGAGCTTCTGGCCATGGCGAGGAGTTGGCGGGGCTGGGATCCCTCACCTCTGACTGGGGTTCTCTGCTCGGGAGGGTCTCATCCATGGCTGGAGCTGGGCTGGGCTCGCCATGGCTGCTCGTGCTGGAGATTCCAAGATCATCCCCATTGCTGGGGCCAGCTGGGTCCTGCCTCATCTCATGGCTTTGCCTCGGTTCTTCTGGGTCACCATGGTCTGGGGAAGGAAAACAGAGCAATGTGAGGAGTGGAAGCCCCCACAGACCCTGGTGACATGTAGCTTGACTCAGTTGGGCATGGGGCAACTACATCTGGAACCCCACAGGTTGCCCAGTTGGGTAAACAAAGTCAAGCCACCACATTGGTGAGCCCTTCCCCAAGTCTTGTGTTTGCTCAGCCCTGGGGCCAGCCCTGGGTGGGTTTGGGTGTTCCTCGAATGGTTATGGGCTTCCTGTGGTCTGTGGTTTGGTCTGCAGCGGTGGTTGGGGATGCCGAGTGCAGGAAAGGTCCCAACCAGAAAACCGAGATGCAAGGAGTCCTGAAATGGCAGAAGAAATGGCTCAGCCTCCTGCAGACCCTGGGCAGGGCTTGCAAACACTTCTGTTTGTTAACAGCAGTGGCAAACAAGCAGTGACTCCGCATGGGAAATGGCCACTCTGTTCCAATTACCAGCTGCCAAGGAAAATCAGTTGGGGAGAGAAGTTAATGGGAACTGCTAAGAAAGCATTTAGCAGAAGGGCCTCCTGGCTTCCCCTCCTCAGATTGGCGAAGAGCAGCACATGCATTTACAGCTGGACCTCGGGGAATGTTTGCTGACACCTGTGCCCAGCCTGGATGAGAAGGTGAGAGGGGCCTTCACTCAGTCCAGCAGACATTTCCCACCCATCCTTCCTCATCCCCGATGCCAGCCAAGGCATGCCATCCCCTCTCGTGCTATCTCAGCAGTGACTACCAGGAGGAAACACCCCAAGGATGTAGAAGACACTGGAGATGGGCTCCTGGGGCTCTGGAGGTGTCGTGGGCAAGTGACAGCCTTGGTGGTGGGACACCAGATGTGTCCTCAAGTGGCTGTGGGCTCTTTGCACATGGTGGCTGCAGGTCTGTGCCTGTCTAAGGCCAGACCCTGCTCCACAGCTGGCAGAGACATTCTCAAAACGTTGCTGTTTTAGCAGAGATTTGTTTTGAAAGTATGTTTTTGCTTTGCTTTGTTTTGTTTTTCCCTTGAAGTTCCTGTTTTTCTAAATATCTTTGGCAGAAACATGGGCCTTCCTGCTCTTTGAAAGCTTTGGGACAGGGAGGAGGGGTGTTTCTTGTCATTGTTTTCATTTCCACGGCTGTTTTTTTTTTTTTTTTTTTTTTTTTTTTTTCAAACAAGATTCTTTGTTTAGAGAAACATTGAGAATTCCAAAGAAGGAGCAATAAACGTGAAAAATTTAAAAACAAAATCCTTTTTGGCCAAACTGACACCTTCTACTAGTATTAGTAGTGAGGTCTGCAGTTTTTTTTTTTTTTTTTTTTTTTTTTTTTTGCTCAGATCAGACGCACGGAGACCTTCTTCCCCTCGCAATAACAAGATTTGTTTTTCTCAGCAGCAGTATCAACCCGGCAGCGGTTTTCATCGCTTCCTCTCAAAGCACTTTAAGAAAACCCTGCCGACAAAGGTACAGCTTTGACCTGAGCTGTGCCTCCCGTTTGCTGCTCTCCAGGTTTTCACTGGGAGTACCCCCCATCTACCTCCCAGTTCCCAGCCTCCACCCATGGGCTGCTGGGGCTGGAGGTCTACCCTCGCATTACAGATGCTCTGGCCGTCGCAGCGACAGCAGATTGTGAAAATGCTGTTATGTGGGGATTTACGGGAAGAAATTGCCACCGGGGTGTGAATTATCCTCACCCTTTTCCCCTCTCCCCGTCGTAGTTTGCCGTATAGGACTTGATACGAGGGAGCCTTTAGGCGGTGGGTAAGCATTGCCCTGCCCAGAGATGAACTGCAATTAGTGCTGCAACATCTGCCCTGGCCAGATGTGCTCCAATCTCTGCCATTAACAGGTGAAAGCAATCAAAAGGGAGTTTTGAGTCCTGGTCAAAAATACAGATCTACTATAAGAAAATGAGATATTCTCCTGGTGAGACCCTTCTTGTTTCTCCTGGGGGAGTTTTCTCCATCCCTTTTCTCTCTTGGTTTGTTCTTCTCCTTTCCCTGTCCCTTAAGGCACTTTTCAGTGTCCGAGTTGATGGATGCCATTGGTGGTGGCTCCAGGAGCAGGTTCCCCTGCAGGAGGTCTGCATGGGGGAGCTGACACAGGGAGGACCCCAGAGCAGCTTCAGGGTGGACCCACCAAACCCCCCTTGGAAAGCCACTGCCTTGTTTCTCAAAACCAAAGAGCTCTGAAAACAAAGCAAAGACTTTTCTCTAAAACATCAAAATTCCTGAACTGCTGGTTTTGGTTGGTTTGTTACCTTTTCCTTTTTTTTTTTTTTTTTTTAAAGTCACAACTGATAGCAAAGATATAAAGCAGGATATAAAGTATTTACATTTTAAATTCCACATCCTACACTTTGCCCCCCATTGAAGCAGAAAATGTCAAGGTGGATTTTCTTTTTCCTTGAAAACCTTTTGTAAGGACAGAGTTTGGTTTTTTTTCTTTTCCCCTCTTCCTTCCTCTCCTTTTTTTTCATTTGACATTTACTTGAACAGCTCCAGCCCTGAAATTACTAGTGGTGGAAAGCAGAAATGTCATCCATCACTGAGCAGAAACCTTGAAGGCTGGATTTTCTTTGGCAAATCTCTCCAGGAAGTTACAAGGATGTATCTGCGCCCCAAATTCTTTGAGTGATGGAATAAAGCCTCCGAGTTCTTACACTGCTTTAATCATCTTATCTGTGAGCCTCACAACGGTGTTTGTGGAACGGGGAGCTGAGGCTCAGGGAGCATAAGCTGATGCACCCAAATACACACCAGGAGCCGATGGCTTAGCTGGAGACTGAATTCAAATCTCTTCAGTTCTTCTCCAGCATCCGAGCTCCAAGACCATCCAAGGACTGTCGCTGGCTTTGGTATAGCATTTTTTTTTTTCCTAAAGCTTTCAACACATTTTACATCACATTATTTCCATTTGAGGCACAGAGAAGGGAAATGGCTTGTTAAGGTCACTGGGCTGAGAACACAACCCAGGTCTCCTGGGCACCGCTCCCGCTCACTCTCCGTGCCAGACCCTTCCCTTTGCAAGGTCTGGCCAGGCCACAAACCTGTGACCTCCACGACAACCTCTCTGCTTTCCCTGTCTTCCCACTGCATCTGCCTGGGATGCTGAGTTTGGGTAGAGCAGCACACTGGCATGGATCCACTCTGGAAAACCCTGTGCTAGAGCATAGGTTTGCTAAGACATTATTTCTTTGCTTTGAAACTGCTGAGAAGGGGATCTTCAGGCCACTGCGGTGCATCTCCAGTGCACATCCCCCTAGGTCAGTGCACACCTTGGTCCAGATGTTTTGTGGGTACCAGCAGTGTAATTCTGCTAATTTAGGCATGATGAGGTAGTTCAGGCCATCTCTAGGTAGCCAAGGGACGTTGCATAAAGGAGCTAGTGGCTCTTAATGACCTGTCTTTGGAAATACTCATTAATTGCCCATAACAATTTACTTACCTTTGTTCTGTCTCATTCACCAAGGGCATTTTATTGCCTGGCCTGTTCTGGCTGGTTCTCACGCGAACATCTGTAGCAGTGATCGTGCACTCATTGAGAAATGCAGACCTCAGCAGGTTTTTTTTTTAAAATTTATTTTCTCCCCGTACGGTGCTGAAACACGAGCTTCCTCCTGGCCAAGTGTCCTGGCCAAGCATCACAGCCCACCAGTTCACCTGTGCAGGCACACATGTTTCCAAACAGCAAAGGGGCTGGAGGGGAGCCAAAAACAATGCAGATTTGCAGAACTTTTCTGAGGAAAGCCAGCTCCATGCTGGAATCTGCAGGTTCATCAACAGGCAGATGTCAAGGGGTGGATCTTCATCTGGGCTGCTCTTCTACCACCAGTAGATACCTCAGGGCTGGTACAAGATACTTAGGTCTAGGGATCTGTGCTTAACCCTCTCTGTGAGAGTATTTTTGACCCCAACTGAAAGGCTGGGGGGTGTGTGATTAGGACATTGTGTGTTTTCTTTCCGTGTGTTAATGATTCCAAGAGTGTGGGGATCACTTTGGCTGGAGTTTGATTGGGACCAAACCTCACCCTGAAGACCCTGGAACTCGAGGCAGACGAGGTCTTCCAGGGTACTTCCTTGTCATTGATGTTCTCTGCAGCTTTGGACAAATAAATTCTTTTTTCCTTGGGCTAAGCTTCCCCCACAGACCTGTGTTTTGCTGGTGAGAGCCTCTGTGGGGCCAGCTTGTGTCTGGCAACATGGGGTCATCTCTCCTAAGACAATCCTAGGTCACCACACAACTCTTCTTCTGAGCGCATCCCAGCTACTGAACTGGGAAAGAAGATCTGTGAGGATTTTTGTCTCTTTTTTTTTTTTTTTTTAAATTTTATTTAAGTTTCTTAGACTTTGCTTCCTCTGTGACGCTTTTGTCTGCTTCAGAGCATCAATTAGAGTGCAGAAGTGACACTTCCGACGCAACCCCATGGTGCTGATAGAAGTCCTGCTGGGTGCAATTAACGGGCTCCTGCACGCGGTGAGCTGGTGCTCGGCGGGGGGAGGCACACGCTGTCCCGGCCCCTTGCTGCTTTTCTGGAGAGCATTTTATTTTTTCCAGAGCTCCTGACGGGGAGACGAGCTCGCCGTGTGCCAGGAGCCCCGGGCCCAGGCTCCCGCTGTTGGGTTTGCTTCCCTCTGCCAGTGCTTCCAGCAGAAAGGGCTTGTCCTATGGTCCCGACACGTGGTTCATTCCTAGGCTTCTTCCCCAGCCAAATGGGGCATCTCCAGCTCAGACTCCCGTGGCCTCAAAGATCGCTTTTTTTCCCCCACCATTTGCTGCAGATACCCAGATTTCCCCAAAATAGAAAAAGAGATTTTTCTCTTCTTTTTTTTGTCCCAAACAGAGCGTCCTCTGGGCCCGTACCAGGCAGCCAAGGAGAGAGTTGGGCATCCCAGGGGAAGCTCCACCTGGGTAGGAACAGAGCTTTGTGCATCTCAGATGGTTTCTATTCCATGGCTTTAATTCAACAGCTCTTTCCTTTCCAGTTTTTAAATAAAAAAAACAGCAACAACACATTGCTTGGGGTCAAACAGGAACATCTCCATTCCTTTACAAGCTTATTAAACTCCTTTCTAGCCCCTTAAACTTAGGGTGTTGTGGCACAAAGATGGAGAAAAGCTTCAAAACAAGAGCTAGAAGGTGGAACAGCTGGAAGCTGTTTAGTTTGTGCACGTGGACCTAAACAGTTTGCTTCAACCAAAGTTTTGCTTGCCCTAAAAATTAGTTCAGAAAACAGATTTACTCTTTGTCCAAAACATTTCTCCTGAACTCTTCCTGGAGAGCCTGCTGGTGATGGGGAGCGGGGACCACGTCCAGAGGGGAGGTGGGGATGGAAATAATTGGGGATTTTATGTGTAAAAGCAACTTCTCCTGGGAAGTCCCAGCCTGTATCTGCCTTGAGTTAACAGATGGCTGGTGGTGATCAGGACGGGCTGGATGTTCACCAGGATGCACAGGGGTGTCTGCAATGTACCCATGCCCAATGCAAAGCACCCGCCTCCATGCAAGCTCCTAAACCTCATCAATCTCAGGTCTTGCCTCTGCCTAAATTGCTCATTGAAAAGTACAAGCTGGGCCCCCAAAATGGTGTCTTCTCTCCTCATTGGCTCTAATCCCCCTTATTTTACCAAAGAAAGACAGGACTGGGCATAAATAAATGCCTGTGACCCTATTGAGGTGCAGCAGCAGCCTCTGCGTCCCCAAAAGCCCCAGTTACACCGGTTGTGCCAGCGAAGGCTGTTGCTAATTCTGCAGCGTTGGGGTCTGTTGTGGATGGATTAACTGCTATGGCAACCCTGGCAGGACCCGGGGTGCCAGGACCAGGGCAGGCGACCAGCTGCTGGTTTCAAACTTCCCTGCTAAAGCCCAAGGTCCTTTCTATGTCCTGTGGAGCAATGCATATCTATATTTATCAGCAGAGGCGCTGCTTTCACTTTGCATATTGTAAAAATGCCTGTTTAATGGCGTTAATCCAGCTGGCGGGTGGCACTGGGAGCTCCACGTGTAGTCGTGCCAATGGGCTTTGCTCTCAGGCTGGTACCCAGACCCACACAGCGATGCTAATGCCCATTAGCAGTGAGCTGGCTCTCCAGGGAGGCCTGGATCCCTTGGCAGAAGGTGCCAAGCTCAACAGAAAGCACCAGCTAGGCTGGTTATCTGTGTTGTGCAGGTGCAGAGAGTGGCTTGAGCCCAAAACTCGTCACAGGGGTGGCAGGAAACCTCGCTTCACTCTCCCTTGCTGCTATTTTTATAATCAATTCCTGCTGTTGCACCATCTCAGCAGGAAGCAGAAAAAAACCCCTAAACGCAAGGTGTGCCTCTTGAAAGACCCAACCTTGCAGGCTTAATGAAATAGTCCAGATTTTTCTCTGTTGTTCAGGTTGTCCTTTGCTGTCGGGAGAAGGCAAGGTGGGTTGAGGACTTGGGGATTTCAGGTTTGTTTCTGAGGGCTGGCTGGAGGGAAGGTCCAGCTCTCAAAGGTGGAGGGAAGCTGGTCAGTGGTGATATTAGGACCTTTTTTGCATTTAAATCAGTGTGTCTAACATGAATGACAGGCAGGTGTCTAACTCAAGCCACTTTTTGGGGTACCTGACTTGTACAGCTACCAGGGGTCTGTTTGGAGATGGAACAAATACCACAAAGGATGTGTTTCTTCAGTTAATTCAGGGCCAGACCCCCGCCGTGATCTAAATCAGCACTCGCCACTCTCTAAACCCCTCAGCGCGCGCTGACACCACATCCCTCAGCAGGCTAATTGCTGTTCCGACTTCATCCCGTGATGGTTTTAATCTCTAACTTCCCCCTCGTTTCCTCTCCTCCCTGGGGGTGCAGGAGCTGACCCCACACGAGCTGTGCCAGGGCTGGAGCCTGCGGCCGTCCCTGTGTGCTCTTGGACTGGCTCCATCACGCAGCTTGTTGCTGCGATACACATCCATCCCTGGGAAATCATTTATCTTTCCTGAACGCATCTTTTTGGGTTTTTTTTCTGGAAGGGTACAAGCTCTGCTATCAGTTTTAGACTCAGTGTGGATCTGCGTAGCCCAAATATTTTTTCTCCTTTCCTCACAAGCAGTGGATATTCCCCCAAGTGATAATGTCACGGGTTAGTTTAGCATCTGCACTCATCTGCCTCGGTTCTAGCACTCCTGGGGAAGGGGCAGGGGAAGAAACATCACATTCCAACCCCTCTGTGGGTCTCCCAACTCTTGCTGCCTTCTGCACCGCTGGCAGGCAGAAGTTGAGCTTTCCTCCTGATGCTGGGATGTCCCAACTCCTCGCAAAGCCATTTCTGAGAAGAGCATAAGGCACGCAATCTGCTGGAGGAGCTGCTTTGGAGCAGCTGTGAAAAGCCTCCAAAAGCACAGCCAAAAGCTGAGGGGTGGTGGCTATGGACGTGATGGACAGCAGTTTTATTGGACCGAAGTACGATTGCTTCATCTAATCATGCTTTTTGAGCGCAATGACTCCAGTTTTATGGCAGGGACGGGAATTATAACACATTTTGTTTCTGGCAAAGCAGGATGGATTCAGACACGAGAGGTCAAATTCCGGTGACGGTGCAGAGCCAGGCCCTCAGATGCTGTCAGCTGCTGGAACTCAAGCCATTCTGATTTACACCAGCAAAACATCTGGCCCAGGGCAGGGGTTCCAATACCATGTGAAGCAAAAGCAGCTTTCACTGGGCACTTCGTGTTGAGCCCATCGATTTGGGTATGACCTGCCTATTCCTTGGCAGGAATTTGTCATAGAATCATGGGGCTGGCCATGAGTTCCTCCAGAAGTGACAGCCCTTACTGTGCCATCTGCCTCACCAGCCACTTCTCCAGTCTGTGGGGTCCTCCCTGAACCGAGTGCAAGCCAACGTGCCTTTGACTCCAAGTCTGAGCCCAGCTTGGCACTGACATAACTAGAATTGGGAGAAAATCCACCAATTTTGGTGAAGGAATGGGTTACAGCAGGAAGAGGGAGAGGCTGTGACGTGGGGCTGGCAGGAACACTCAACCCGATTGAGTGCCTGTTGCTAAGGTCCATCAAGAGGACCAGTGCATGGCTCTGCATGATGTGACTGCAGGGACTGGCATGTTTCTCACCTGGAAATGCTTCTGCCATGTCTGTCTTGAGATCCAGGATGGGCTCAGAAGAAGACATGTGTGTTTTGGGGCTGTGCTCCGTTTCTGAAGGCTGGGGGATAGGCAGGCTAAGCCAGGAGCTACCTAAAAAAAGACCCGAAGAAGAAAGTCTTAGAAGGCATGTGATGCACAAGGACACCTCCCACCAGACCAGGTTGCTCAAAACCCCATCCAACCTGGCCTTGAACCCCTCCAGGGCTGGGGCATCCACAACTTCGCTCGGCAACCTGTTCCAGTGTCTCACCACCCTCACAGGAAATAATTTCTTCCTAATATTTAATCTAAATCTCATCTAAATCTCCCCTCTTTTGGTTTAAAATGGTTTGCCTTCGTCCCATCGTTCCCCTCCCTGATCAAGAGTCCCTCCCCAGCTTTCCTGGAGGCCCTTTAGGGACTGGAAGGGGCTCTAAGGTTTTTCTGGAGCCTTCTCTTCTCCAGGATGAACAATGCCAACTCTCTCAGCTTTCTATGGTTTGTGGTTGGCAGAAGCCAGGAGGTCGGGGACCTGCCCTGCAGGACAACCTGGCCATGCTCTACCTCCACCGTCCAGCGCTCATCCAGATGCTGCATCCAGGAGAGGGCAGCAGCATCCCAGCACGCTCCATGGCCATGGCCACCGTCATCAATCGTGCTTCCAGAGAGTGGATTCCTGACTCTTCCCTAAGCTGTAAACATGGTCTTCTACTTCCCATAGCAATAACCTTCCTGCAGAGACTCTGGCAAAGTCTTTGTGGTCAGCATCTGTCAGAGCGTCTATAAAAGTTTGTAATTAATGCCCCAGAGTAGCTATTTTTGCACCCAGTTAAGCAGAGGGACTGTCTGCTGTCCCAAATTGGGATGTGGAGGAGGAAACCTGAGCCAAACCCAACGCCACGGGGCCTTTGTGAACCCTTCTGGGAGCTGGGTGAGATGGACGGGGCCGAACTCAGGCACCCAGCAGCCGTGGGGGAATGACCTCCTCTGTCCCCTTCTCTCCTGCGGCTACAGATGTCCTCGACCCCGGGGACCAGCACCCATCACCTCCATGTGGGAAACATGGTCTTGAATTGAGGTCCTGGCACACGAGTGGAGGAGGAAAGAGCTTTTGATGGAGGAAGAACCGCCAGGCTGAGGCTCCAGCACTGCATTTTAATGGCTGAGGTTCCTCAGGTCCCTTCCCAAACATCTGCCCAGCGTCCAGCAGACCTTCAGCGGGGGCCAGGCCACTGGGCTTCTCCTTCCACAGGCTGTCATGCAGCAGAGGAGAGCTGCTGTGCAAGCCAGCGCTTATTAACGATTTAAAAGGCAAGCTGTCAGCAGTGCTGCTAAAGATGGGCTTTTCCTCTTATAGCTCTATCCCTCTCTAATTCTAATAGGATTGGAAGGAGGAGGAGAAACGGCAGCATTGCCAACCAGCTGAGGGGGAGCGTTTCTTCCTTGCAGAGGCTTGGTACAAGTTGGGGGGGGTTCCTCCAGCTCCTCTCTTTGGTTCTCCGGGGTTTTGGGTCAATCCCTCAGGCTCTACAAGGGGAGATGGAGCAGCCTGGGTGAGGAGGCACAGAGGAGGAACCACCATCTCCTGGCTCCTTCTCCTCCTGACACCTCACCAAGGGAAAATTAAATGTCCCTCCACCCCCGAAGGGTCTGTGCTCTGCTCCACATCCTCCGCTGGAAAAACTGCATTAATTCCTGTTTTGTTTAAAATTACATCTGGGCAATAGCTTGAGTTTCCATTTTTGCAAGGACTTTTTGGGATCGGAAGCCTGGATTTGGACCAGGCTGGAACAAAGACAAAGAGCTTTATCCTTCTCTGCAAAGGAAGAGGCTGAAAGCAAAATCTGTGCCAGCACCACTTCTTGAGCTTTTAAACTTTCTTTTTCAGTGGTGCAACTTATAAAAAAAAAAAATTCCAAAGGCATTTTGACATGATGTAAACAGCTTGAACGTGTGATTTCCTTCTAAATTTGAGCAAAACCAGACCATTTTTCAGGATACACTTAAGGTTAAATCTATGTCAATAGAGGCCTGTTCATCCCAGCTTTTATTTCCAGTTCTACTTAATATTTCACTCTCTTGTTCTCCCCTTTGGTTAAATTAATTAAGTTTGCGAATCACTCAGATCAATTGATGTTGAAGGACACAGTACAAATAGTTTTGCTTAATTGCCTGGAGCCAAAGGTGAGTTAGCAAACCCCACATCTTCTTCACAAATAGCATTGGCATTATTTTTTTTTTTTTTTTTTGCAAGGAGTCAGCAGGGAGGATAACTGGCAAACCCTCAACTTCGTGTCTCTGGAGTCCCTCTCCATGTCCTTCAGGGGATTTCTCTGCTCTCCGCATCCTGATTTACAGGATTTCTCCCATTTCCATCTGTACTCTGCATGCACTGGGACCTGCCACAGCTTCCCAGCAAGAGCTACCAAAAGCACCCGTGGGACCAGCTCAACGGGGTGAATTCCCCACTGCCTTGGCCTGGAGGAGAAATTACTGCTCAATTTTCAGCATCCAGGATTTCACCCACTGATGGGGGGAGAACCAAATGTCCACAAACCTGGTCTAATGGGGGGTGTCCCTGCCCATGGCGGGGGGTTGGGACGAGATGATCTTTAAGGTCCCTTCCAACTCTAACCATTCTAAATTGTAGGATTCTGCAATGCCCACGGTCACATAGGGATGCAGAAGCAGAGTCAGGACTGAACTCAGATCTCGTGATAGGAAAAAAAAGATCCAGCCTCATAAAGACACCACAAACACAGTGTCTTAGGAGTTTCTGTGCTGCAGAGTGCTCCAGGCACAGGAGGGACTGCACGTGTTCACAGCAATGACTCCAACACCATTAACTCATCTTGCTCTTTAATCAGTGCCATATGTGCAACGTATAGGCAGGCTGTACATCACGTCCAGTTGATGGCTTCATTGGACGTGTTGGCCTTGAAACCACAAAATGGTTTTTAAAGTCATCATAATTCTTTTGCTGCCTTTTACCTCCTGAACTCATTGCAACTGGCTGGTGCTCTTGGTCTCAGTCCTGGGTTAAAGCCTACTTTGGTGATGGACAAAGCGACATGGGAGAGGAGAGGAGAAGAGCAGGGAGGAGAGAAGAGGAGAGGAGAAAGGAGAGGAAAGAGAGGAGAGGAGAGGAGAGAGGAGAAGGGATGGGGAGGAAAGTCAGGAAATGAACTCTCCATTGCCATCAGGCAGAGCTGGGCTTGAGGAAAGCCAGACCCTGGCTTGTCCATCTGCAGGACTGATTCATGAGGAGGAAGTTATTAAAGAAATATGGATTTTTGTTGGTCGCTCGCCAATCTCTTCCCACAAGGAGGCAAACGACTCTAAAAAATAAACCAGAAGCCTCCTGGTTTCGCTGACACCGTGTGAGGAATGAAGCCACCAGAGCAGGGGCACATACGCCTTCTGGTGCCAAAAACCTCAGGTCTGTCCTTCCCACAGTGCGTGGTCAATGTTTCCCTCACCTCACAGGCAGGGAAATAGAGGTCAACAGGCACCAAGACCTGTCCAGGATTGAGAGGACACCCCCTCTCCTCAGCTAAAACTTTATATCCTACCCTTCTGGGGCCAAATCGGCTGTTTCCCTGAGCTATTTTCCCTCATCAAGGCACAGCTTCAGCCATAATACCTGAAAAGTCCATTTCAGCCATGAGGAGATGGCAGAAAGGACAGTGTTATCTTGGCTCAACGTTCTCACCTATCCAGGCTCCTTCCTGTCTCTAGGGAGAGCTTCTCAGCTTGTCTGACCAGGCTGTTTTCTGCTGAAACCCAGCCATAGTTTGCCCCTTTTTCACAGAAGACAGCGCCTCACCCAAGTGCTTCTTCTTCTTTGGGATCACCAGTTTACAAAAAACAACTAATTTCTGTCCACATCCCCCATGTGAAAAGTGGAAGAGCCTTCAAGAGCCTCCAGGCAGCACTGGTGTGGGAGTCAGTGAGGAAAGATCGGGAAGGTGTCATCGTTTCCAGGAGGACCATCCATATAAACATGCTGTTCCAGTGATGGCTCCTTGGCAGAGTCTGCTGCACAAAAATGGCTCCAGCTGCTCCTTACACAGGAATCTGCTTTTCTCTGAATTTTCCAGCAGTGTCTCTCAGAAAGGGGTCCCATCAGCGGTTTCCATGAAGAAGCAGCAGCACGTGCTTCCTATCTAGATATTTTTGCCAAGCAGAAATTCCACAAACTAACGGCCTCGTGGGGAGATCCCAGGCAGGGCTGGGAGGCTGCTCGGTTTTCTGGCCAAGCTGGGGGTGTCAGCAGCAGGAAGGCAAAAGGGAAAGGTGGGAATCATTGCAACTCTTAATACATTGAGGGAAAGAGCAAACTGGAATCCTTTCTTCATGCCAAACCAACTTTTTTTTTTTTTCCTCAGCACCAAAGGGAATAGTTGCATTTTGCATTTGGTAAAGAAAAGCAAAGAGCTTAAATTCCCCAAAGCAAGAAGGTTCCCCAGGAAGGTCACAGCCTGACTTTACAGATACCTGTACATGTAGCATGGACCCACACGTCCTTCATCCAAGGAAACTCTCAGCTTCTGGGTGAGAAGAAAGGGGTAGATGGCCTCTTTCTCCTCCGTCCAGAAATTCTAGTCCTACTTTACACAGATCTCTTGACCCAGATCTGTGAGTTCTCAAATCCTCTAGACACCTCCTTGTCCAGACAGACCTGCACCCCCATCTTCACCGGTGCCCTCACCCACTCCCAGCCTTGCCCCAGGACATCCCTGGCAGTGTTTTTACCTGGAAGGCTGCAGTGCCTGGACAGCTGCCTGGAGAGTTGGCCTCGCACGACAGGACCTAGAAACAAAGGAGAAGGTGTGGGTCTGGCTTTCTGTCCCACCACGATGGCTTCCTGGTGATCTGTCTTCACAGGAGCATACCCATTTGGGAGAGATACAAGGAAAGAAAAAGAGCGCTGCAGTCCTATCCCATGAAAAATTATTTCCAGGAATTTTCCCATTGGATGTGCACCATGAACCCAGGCAGGTTTTGCAGTGCGTGACACACAGCCTTCTTCTGAAATGTCTGTGGTAGCTCCCTGCTGCACCCCTACAGAGCATTCCATGCCTTTTTGAAGAAGAAAGTAGGCTGACACGCCCTCTTAATCTGGGAAAAAGTTCACAGCTCACATGCATCTTATTTCAGTTAATTAAAGAGGTGCCCTTGCACCAGCAGAAACCAGCAATTTTTAGAAGGGAAGACTTTTTTCAAAGAGGTCATGTAGCTGCAGGGACAAGGCAACGGGCTAGTGCAGCCCTTCCCCTGGGATGAGGATGACTTCTGAGCAGAGCATCTGAGACCCTTGGGTTTGAAGGTCTCCCTTGGTACTCCTGAGGGGGTCACAAGCCTGGGCATCCCGACAACCGTGACCCTATTCATGCCTTTTCCACCCCAAGCTGCTTGGAGGCCTGGAGAACAGCCCTGGGTTTTCATCCCTGAAAGCCTGAGCTGCAGAAAGGTGCAAACAACCTGTTCTCTGCTCGCAAGGGAGGAGGGGAAGGTCTGGAGGACAGGCCCAAGTGGTTTATTAATTCATTTGGGTTTTTTGAGGAAGAATAGTGGGCTGAAACAAGCCATCTCTCCCTCTCTGGTTCCAGCCGGTTGATACTGAAAAGAAATTTTCCCTGGAAACCCATTAATCCAGTGCGGAGAAGCAGGTTAAAATTACACTTAATCTTGAAATATTGTTTGAAAAAGGGGAAATTAGAATACTTCATTTAAAAGCTGCAGAAAGAAACGCATTTTTCAGGTGCCAAAAAGGGTTTTTTCAGCACTATTTCCTGTACTTTTTGATGAATTCGCAACTAGTCTTAATTAACCCCAAACCTGCATTTTTCAGCAAATAAATGGTTCACCTGAGCATGTTCGCAAAGATCCATTTAGGAATTGTAACTGCTTCTGTACATAGCAAGCAAATTGAAATTATAATTAAAGGCAGAATTAAAAACTGCCTGTGTGCTTCTAATACACAGGGAGAGAAAAAAATCCGTTCGTCTTATGTTAAGTCAACAAAATAGTGGATAATGGAGAAGAGTTAATACATTTTCCTGAGTGCTTTTTGATAAAGGCCATCAAAGAGGCTTTTAAGGAAACTCAATAGCCAAAGGGGGATTGTCTAACTTCCACGGTGTATTAAAAGCTTATTAAGATGGAGAAAAGAAGAAATGGAATCAAGAGTTCATTCTCAACATATAAATAATATAATAACAGGACATCCCCGGGAGTCCATCTTAGGATGAAAGTCTTTTATTAAGGATGCGAGGGGAAAAGGGTGAACAGTCAAGTGGAAAAATTTTGTAGGGAATAGAAAATAGTAATATCAGCTGGTGGGGGCCAGTGGAAGCTGGGAGGGGACCTCATGAGGGGACACTAACGAAGAGCCTGCCCGCGGGTGAAATGAAAAGGCGAGCAGTGAAGAGCAACACACATCAGAAAACGTCACTTGAACTTTCTGTGCACCTTGGTGGGTTTTAAATCAGCCTTAGAGAGACGAGAAGAGAAAAATAAAAAGAGGAGACCCCCGGGTGTAACGATGAGCAGAGGCAGAAATGCTGGCTGGGCAGCCCGAGGCTGCGTTGGGCAGGGGGATAAGAAACCACAGAAAATATATAAAAAAATTACCTTTAGGGGATAGAGTAGGGCTCTAAGTTCAGTCCTGACCACTGCTCCTTGGCCAGACAGACAGGATTAGAGTCTGCCCAAAGCTGCTCAGTAAAACTGTGAAAGGCCTGAAGGGAGTTGTACAATGAAGAGTGTAAGAACGGGACAGTCAAGGCTAAAGAAGAGAGAAAGGAGGAGAAAGCTGGCGGGAGCATTGCCATGATCATAAAAACATATGTTTTTGATGAAAAACTCCCCTTAAGTAAGCCCCACTTCCAAAATTGGTTTAGGTAAGGTTGAACAGGGTCCGAGACAGAAGCCGTGGTGCTGCAGGGCACTGGGCATCACCCCCAAACTGGGGTTCAGGAGGAATCTCCCAGAGTGGGGCAAAAGTGAACCAGACCAGGGGTTTCTTCCACCCTGGTCCAAAATCTCTCCGCCAGGGACTGTCACAGGCAGGACACAGCCGGGCACACTCTCTGCCCGCTCCTGCCTGATAAATCCTCTCCTCCCCATCTTGTTTTCTAATGTAATAGTTTGCATTTTTCCGCCCGCCCACGTATCTGGAACGGGCCAGGGCACTTAATCCCCGATGGTTTATTCATTATTAGAAAGCTTCTCAGTTTTCCTTTAACATCATTCGGGCCCGGTTTGGTTACAGAACATGCCCAGTGCTGAGTTTGTGTTCCTGAGAAAGGAGTGATAATTAGATGATGGGCCGTGCAGCCCCGGGGGGAGAGGAGACTCCTGGGGAAGAGAAAGGGTGAGGGATGGGTGGAAAAGCTCCGGTGCCAGCTCCTGGATCCCCGTGGTCCAGCCCCTCCTGCCTCTGCCCATCCTCACAGGCTCACTCTCTGCAAAGCGTCTTTAGCAGGAGCAGGGTCAGGGCCGGGATGTTTTTTACCCCTGGCTGTTTGCAGAAGAATTAATCAGAAAATTGCAGCCCACCAGGCTTTAAGGTTGGAGCTAAATCCCTTTAAATCGGTGTCACTGAGCTCCCATCCACCGAATATTTAAATAATGGCTTGATTTTCTTTTTTTTTTTTTATCATTTTATTTGGCTCTAGTCTTCAGAAGTAAAAAAAAAAAAAAAAAGAAAAAAAGAAAAAAAGAAGCCTGGATTTTGTTTCAGATCAGATGTAAAATGGCATGAAACATAAACCACATCTCCTCGCTGGCTACGCAGGCAGGTGAGGGCAGGCACTGCCTTGTGGGCAGGGAAAAGCCAGCCTGGAAAACATGTGAGGGACCACCAGGAGGGCAGACAAGGGGGGAAGACAAGCCTCTCCCTATGTCTTCCCCATTAAAATCCACATCAGTCTTGTTGAGGTGGGTGAAGGGCAAAAAGATACTGCTGGCTGTAGAGAGGTGCCTTCAGATGGTGGGGTTTTGGTGGCCCTATGGTGAGCCACAGCTTCTCTGTAGAGATAAGGGTCTAGGGGGAGGAAACCAACAGTATTTTGTGAAGATGTGAAGGAGAAAGCACCTGGCAACACTCCTCCTTCACCGCTCTTTCCCCCCACACCCTGTGGCCAGAGAGATGAGATGTGATGTGGCTGTGGCTGGTGGCCGGAGCTGCCTGGTGGCTGGGCGGTGGGGGGGGTTGCAGAAGTGTGTGGAGGGGACACCACCCCTGTCACACACAGTTTGGCATTTGCAGACCAGGCTGAGGGTCTTGTGGGGCTGGAAAACCAGGAAGATCTGGGACTCCTTGAGGAGCTCATGAGCAGAGGCAACCCTACAAGATACTGAGTTGAACAAGTTCACCCACAGGCACCAAGAGCCTCATTTGGGTGCTTTCAGTTGCCCGCTGAAGTCCTCCACCCTCTGTTTTTTTATATGACAAAGTGTCTAAATTTAGGTGCTGTGCACATGCCCCCTCCCCAGCTCACTTCCTGCAGCAAGCCTGAAGAGATGCCAGTTCAGATAGGGCTGTGGGTGGAGGTGAGTGCTGCTGAGGAGACCTCCTGGGCAGCAGTGGCAGGGGGTGTGCAGGTAGGTGCTGGCAGAGGAGAGGAAGAGAAGGTAACGAAAAAACAGCAAGATCAGAGATAAGGCTGAGACGGAAACCAGAGCGAGCAGCATCCTCTCCTCCATCACTCACGAGCTCCAAGGTGGTCCAGCCCAGCAGGGTGGTGGGTGCAGGCAGAGAGCATCGCTGTGGACCCGTCAGGGCTGGGTCTGAGGAGAAGGCATTTGCATTTAAACTGCTGGACCTATTGCTTCTCCTCTGTCAGGTCTTACGCATGGCAGGATATTTATTCCAGGCTACGGCTGGATTCAGTGGCATCCCTTGTTAAAATATGGTGAAGCTTCTTGCCTTGGGACACCAGGTTTTATAGTCAATGATTTCAGGGGCCTGCCCAGGCAATGGGAGCAGATGGATGTATTAATCCTCCCTTTCTCAGCTCACAGACACAGGATCCCTGGGGATCATCTCTGACGGATGTTTGTCCAACCTTAAATCTTCCAGGAAGGAGATACCAGTCCTCCCCTGGAGACCTGCCTCGCTGGTGCTGCACGTTTCTCCTGCAGCTGATAGAAAGCTTTTAGGGATGTCCAACCCAAACCTGCGCTACAGTGACTTAAGTGTTTCTATTCTCATCCTTCCTCCAGTGCAGCTGATTACCATCCATTTTATAATTAAACTTTGCCTGATGATGGGCTGTTTTCACATCTTCTACTTCCCAGACTAAACAAACCCTGCTTATTTAATGTTTCCTCATAAGCTAGGGTTACTGAACCTCATCTTGTTATTTGTGCTCCTCCTCTGGACTTCCTCCAGCTCATCAATATCTTTCTTAACATTCCAGGCCTGGTGTCGGGCTGAGAAGAACAACCCACCCCCCATCTCCCAGGGCTCAGGCTCCTGCACACACATCACTGTCTGACACAGGACTTTTTGCAAAGGCTCTCATCCTTCTAAATTCGCACTGGCAAGCCTTAAAACCGTGTGTTTTACACCAGGGCTGGCTCTTCCACCCACAAAGCTGCTAATGAAAATATTGACCACAGCAGAGAGGCTCCTGCAGCGCCCGCTCGCTGTGTTTTCCTGTTCGGGTGGTGAAGGGGTAATAACTGCTCCCAGAGCACCTTCAGAGCAGTTTGTTTTCTGCTGAATTCACCCAAGAAACGTTTCTCAGTGTCTCTTCTCCTAATCTTGTGTTGTCCCATCCCACTGCGGTAGCTCCTCGCTGC